CTGCTGCGTGTTGCATGGGTGGCGGCGACGCTGCCGATTCTCGTGGCCTTGGTTCCCGTTCGATCCATTGGCTTTTTTCGTCGGCTTCTGGTGGGGTTTGCTGCTAGGGGAAAGACTTTACAGTCGTCCACCAAGGCAAGACATTTAACTTCATAGTTTCCTTGCTGAAAGACGAAGAGTCAGTGCTATCCACCAATATCTTGATTCTTCTAGTTTTGTTACTTGATTGCTTTTGTGGAATATAAGATTAGAGACTCGCCTTAGATGGTTTGGTCACATAAAACGGCGGCCTGCCAATTATCCGGTTAGGAAAGTAGATGTATTAGATTTGACTTATGTTAAAAAAGGTAGAGGTAGACCTAAAATGACTTGGTTAGAAATTATTAGAAATGACATTTCTTTATTAGATTCAATGAGAATTTAACACTTAACATGATACAATGGAGAAACAATATTCTTATAGCCGACCGCACATAGTGGGATAAAGGCTTGATGTTATTGTTATTGTTGTATTGCTTTTGTGGACGCATATTGTTTTGTTATAAGTGAAATGTACAAAGCAGTGATGTTTATTTTCTCTTAAGAAAAAAATCAAAATTGTTTGGTTAAATTTTGTACAAGCCTTCTATCACCATTCACACTTGCATGCTCTATTTTACCAGGACCAAAATAGTTGCATATATTTCATTTGCTCTCACATAGATTGTTTCCTTGCTTAATGCTTGTTTGAAATGTAGAGGATGCCGAGTGCATTTTTGTACCATGAACCTATAGCTCCAAGAGACACTTATTGCTTCCTAAGCCTACGTTATGGTTAGTTGGGGGCTATAAATCTTTAGATAATTCTTGCAGTTGACCATATTTTTTAGTCGCTTTTAAAATTCTAAGAATTGGAATGTTAGAAATATTATTATATCTTATGTTGTAGCTTGCTTTCTATGGATATTATATAGCCAAATATATTGAAAATTGGGTTCAAGCCAAATCAACACGATTCAAGCCAAGTTAGCCTGGTTCAACCCAAGTCGACCTATGTCACACCCGCCAGCACTACGTTAAATAGCCTACGCATAATGAAATAACGATGGTTGCCAATAACTTACCTTGCTCTATTAGATTTACTATAAAACATGTGCTAAATGCATGACCAGTTTTGAAGGAAATTATAACTTAAAATTAGAAGCGGAAATAATTAAATTTTTATTTCCAAAAACTTTTTTTACAAAGCATCTATCTGACACAAAAATAAGTGACTAACGACATACTACAAACCTCCAAATTTTTTTTTTACATTGATCAAAATAACAAAAAATTTCAAACAGAACGTTGCATTATTCTGGTTCACCCTTCTTCCCTTTACCTGCAACCACTAGAATAATCATATTGTGAACAATAATGCCCAGAAAGATTCACATCTCTATACAACAATCAAATATAGACATATAAAACTTCCTTGTGCTGATGTGAAACCAACATGGGGAAACATGAATTGCAATTCAGAGATTAGTGAAATCCTTAACTTTGCAACATTAACAATAAAATTTAGCTTACTCAATTAGGATTCAAGAAAATTCGTGAGAGATTAAGCGGTAGACATTGACTACACTTGAGAGTTAAAGAGTCTTGCAAAAGATAACTAAATAATGCAAATAGCTTTCACTAAAGCCACACATTTAAAGTTTAGACCATTCACCTTGAGGTCCGACAATCTCTCTTTGAAGTGGGGGTTAGCGGAAGAGGGTTGCAAGAAAACTTAGCGATACCACTAAGACACGTGTGATGCCAAGAGGACTCGTCGCCGGGAAGGAAGTGGGAGTTGGAGAAGCGGGCTGATGACTTTCGATGATCCACGTGTAGTTGGAGAATTGGTCGTCAAAGGCGTCCACTAGTGTCGGTAAGATCCGATCCAAGTAATTTTCAACGGTATTGTCGAAGCCAAAACCACGTCAAAGAAAGGCGATCTAAGGGCGTGAATGTGGCCGTAGGTGTCGAGTTCGATTCCGTAGTCAACGGTGGGATCCGCCATGCACCATGAACTTGAAGACGAGCAATCCCCTCACTGAACCAAGAGAGAAGAGAGGGGCCGGTTTGGAGACGAGGAAGGGGCCGGCGGTGGATCTAGGGGAGAGGAGAGGGATTAGGTTGAGAAACTGAAATTGATTTCAGTTTCAAAGGATTTAGGAGGGAAAATTTTGGAATTTTAAATTTGAAATCCCAAATTAAAGAGGGAAATTATTGCTCACGGGACCGGCTCAGACGCGAAATGTCGCGTGATCTCCGCCTCCTGCGGAGATCGAGCGGCCCGACCAGCCGAAGAGATCATTTTAGGAAGCGTTTTTTAGCGTTTTGAGAGGGAAATTTGAATGTAGGGACTGTTTAGGGATTTCCTTTTGATTTGTATGCATTAAATAGTTTGTTTTCCTAGGGTTTGGGCATCTTGAATTTGGCTGAAATTTGAGATCTCGTAGATTTAGGATTTCTTTGGGCTCTAGCGGCGTCTAGAGATTTGGGAGAGATCGATCCTCCTCTCGAATTGAGGATCAATTGTATCTTGCTCTTTTATTCATCGTCTAAGTGGAATACAAGTCTTTTCTTGAGTTTTCTATCCTATTTTCCCGGACAAGTGCTGTTTTCCTGCTGTAAACAACAGAAATCTGCTGTTTTCCTGCTGTGGACAGCCATTTGGCTGCCGTTGGTTCGCCGATTTTGGATAGGTTGCTTGTGAATACAAGCACTTCCTATCATATCCATAAGGGCAAAAACGGAAAAACATAAAATAAAATTAAACTACTACATAAAATGATGAAAATAAAGTTCATGATCGTGGCCGTCGATCTCCGGCATCTCCTGAAGGTACATGTGTCGTAATCTGATGTCCCCATCATGTGCATTGACAAGGGAACGTAAGAACATGTTCAATTATCATTAATTAGAAATTATGTATAACAAATCATAACATAACAGATGAAGATATTGCCACACATAAGATTTATGCAAAGTTATGTAAATATCATTACATTAGACTTTTTGCTTCCCATTTTATCATATGCAACTTTAAATAGATTTCAATTCATATTCATCATTCTCTTTTTCCAACCTTAGAAGGTATCATGTCGAGATCGTTAGGTTTAGTACTTCAACCGATGATCTCATGAGGTCGCACTGCCTATTGAGGTTGCTCTGCCTCTATCGCATCATACCAAGGTTGCATTACCTCTATTGGGTCACACTGCCCATCAAGGTCGCATTGCCCTCTATCATCCTATCATCTAACATAACACCCTCCCAAGCTAATTTGATTAGTGCATGTTCATGTTTGGGTTATGTGACACTTGATCATATATCTAATGATGCAACTATGCACATGAATATAAATTAATATAACTGTTGGTTGTATTAGCATATAAGTAGGTATCAGCAAGTAGAATTGAATTTTACATCACAATATTACATAACTAAATCACCTATTACTAGAAGTTATAAGTGAAGGGTTCCATGGACCATAATATTAGGCTAATTTCAAATATGAAAGAATACAAAGACATATGTCACCCACTACTGATTTAATTGCACATTTATTTTATAACTTGAATTTATACTGAAATAAACACACATATCTTACATTCTTGATGCGCTGATTCACCCAGTCTTGCCCCTCATCTCCGCTTATGCATATAAGGCACCTAAACTGACTCAAATCTTTAATCAACGATTCACACAATTTACTATTCTATTCATAAAATTAAATATTTTCTTAACTACAAACCTTCCAATTCTCCCTTTGCATATACAATTTGAGTTTTTCCCCAAAATTTCTCCCACACTACAATATCCTGTACACAAACCAACTAATGATCAAAGTGCATTTAAAATAAAATATAGTAGAAGTATATAGATAATTAAATAACTTCCTTACAATCACCCTTACTCCAATATCTTCACATTTCTAACTCATCAACTACTCAAATCATCAGCACCTTCTCTTTCTTTTGCTCTTCTCACTCTAATGACTCCCTTATCTAACAATAACTCCTAAAACAGTAAATTCATCTACAGCTTCCTATAGTAGCTACTTCATCTACAGTAGCTCCCTACAACAGTAAATTCATCTACAACAGCTACTTCATCTACAACAGCTCCCTATAGCAGTGAATTCATCTACAACAGCTTCTACACTCGCATATCTCACCTGCCCAATACTCCCATCCACTTACATGTCACGACCAGTTCCAAAATCCGCTCCCAGCTTCTACCCTCCCCTCCGTCCAGTGACCTATTCCCGCTCCAGCCCTTCTGCAAGCTCCAAACAGGGAGAAAATGAGTGCTTTGGGTGGGCAAGGAATGGTTTTAAAGCACTAACCTGTGCTGAAAATAAAAAAAAGCAACACTAACTAGTGCAATTTTGTAAGTGCCCACACCCCCCACCAGTGCATGTCGTGGAAAATGCCTTTGCCAAGAAATCATTTGCCCTTGCTACAATATTTCGTATTTTTAAACATTGAATATAGTTTATTAAGTTATGAAAAATACAAATGAGATTTAATTCCCTAACTTTCAATCCTTCACAATTCGACATATAGCTCTAATATTGAATTGCTCCATTCAACAAGTAGAACACAGAGATATTAAATTTTTTAAATTTCGTGAAAGTTGGGATTTTGGGTTATTTCAAATGGATCCAAATGTGGCATACCTGATCAAAAGTGGATTTTACAACCTAGGTCAAGCCAAGTCGGCCTGACCACTAAGATCTATGACTTCTTCCCAAGCAAGTGACTACAATCTATAAACTTGCCTAATGCAGATGAGTACAACTAATCAAGGCATTGACGTATTGTTAAGATACCAACTTCCTCAAGAAGTTTGCGACTTCCACAACAAGTCAGCGATTTTCTCAACAAATCCAACAAGTCAGTTTCTTCTGGCAAGTTGGTATTTCAGTAAGTTGGCGGTTTGTTCCAAGCAGTTGGTGCAAGTCAACAACCTTGCTCAGTTAATCTTCAGCTTGTGGTTTGATTCTAGTCAACATAGTCATCCCCATGGACTCATTTCGTGCATATTATTGGGCTACACATTTTAGGCCATACACTTTATATATCGGGATTCATATTTTATTCTTGTATTGTCTTTTCTATTGCCCATAAAATCTTATAAATACGGGTCAGAGGCCATTTTGGCGATTTTTTTTTGCGGCAGAAGAGAAACAATTCTTTTATGTGGTGGACACTAACAATGAAGTTCAAGAGCGTCGTTCTCTAGATATGGGTTCCTTTAGCTTGTTTCTTTATCTCTCTCTTAACTTTTTCATCATACTTTTATCAGCTAAAATTTTGCAGTTTTGAGAGTAAGATTCTGATAGCATTCATGGACAAATATGGATTCAACATATGTATTTTTGCATCTGCATTCGCCTGGTTTAAAGACGATTTGCCTCATTTGAATAGTTCTGCTTTGTTGTTTTCCTTTTTTGGTTTTATATTTGTTTGCTTTTTGTGTTTTTTATAAAGTCAGCCTCCATTTTTTTGACCCAAGATGATCCCAATAATCACTCATTCTATGTGGTCTGCAATTTGATAAGTTAGTGATAGTTATAAACCAAGTTAAGCCTGCTTATTAATAATCATAAACCCCAATAGTTTATGGGAATCCCTATAATTTTGATTTATACTTTGATGCGCCATCTCCAGATAGCAAGCTATTTTTTTATGATGCCTTATACAAGTATGCCAGAGGTTTGTTCTTATTGTGTTCCCTCTTGTTATATTTTGTATTTATAGCTTGAACATCATCAGAGAATAAAGGTCTTCTTCAATTGTTTATTTTTGGTTTGAGACGGTGATAACGGTATGGTTATCTCTAGTTATGATTTTTAATTATTGCATCATCATTAAGATGGTAATGACCGTTGAACATCATTTGTATTTTAGCTGGCAATGCATATGATGACAATTCTTCCTGTTTAATATCCCTTCAGTTAGGTTATTTTTTCACCCATCAATCCATCATCTGGAAGGTAAGAGTTCCATGCATTCATGTTATCTGTTTTGTTGGGTGGATTATGATTGTTGTCCTTCCGTTTGAGATAGATCATGATTCTAGACATCCTCCATAAGATGAATACTTTTGAGTTCTAAAACTCGTATTAGTGGCCTCCTGTAGGATGACGCCATTGCATTGAGATGATGACGCAAATGACAAAATTTCAATTGGAGATTTGATCCACTTTGTATTAGTTTGGCACTTTGGCAACAGTATGCAAGAGTTTGCACTATATGATTTGTTGTTGTTCGGTAACCCCTTCAGAGATTTCTCATCTCTGATGGCTCATTGCCTTTTGATAGCTCTGTGGTAACACGAGAGTGATAAGAAATCAATGCAACATTTGGGGGTAGAACTTTCAAAGATTTATCTCCATGAATTTGTTGTACTATCTCTTGAGGTAGGGACCTCGAGTGTTTGAATTTATCAAGTTTTGTAGTCTTAGGGAAATTGATTGTTTGACATGCCGATCAACATAACATTCACTTGCATGTGCAGAAAATTTTGAAGGTTTTCTAGTACTATTGATTGATAATGTTTTAAGGTTTAGGATTTCTAATGCGATGTAGTATGAGGTGCATAAATGAATGCAACATGCATGTAAAGTTTTATTGGGTACAAACTCTTAACTATATCAACTATGCGTTTTCACATACCATCCTTTTATCATTATAATTTCTTATGCCATGGGTCCCACGAGAGTTTGTTTGTCCTTTATAAATACGGGGGGTGATGTTTCATTTCTCACATCCCTTGTGTATATTTGAGTTCATTATTGTGAGTTCTTGAGGGTTTTAAGTATAGCGGTGAGGCCGTATTCATATTTTTAGTGAACTTGTAATTGTTTTACAATCTGCTGTAAGTCCTATATTTTTAATTCATCATTTCAGCTTTTTATTCTTTTGGAGGTGCTTGCATTGCATTTTATAATTACTCTATTTAGCTACATTTTGCTCATTTTAGGCTTCTTGTTTGCATCTCTTTAAAGTTAGATCAATCTAAATTCTGTTAGTCTCTAGCCCTCTCGACATCTCTCCCACATAAGAGGAATCTACAATGAGTCTGAGGCTTGCTCATCATGCTAATAAATAAGTGTATGGTCGAAGTCCCATGACATCACGATCAAAATTTTCACAAATACTACCATGCTAAGAAAGGCTCATATGGGATACATGTACGATAGAATTGGTAATAATATGTAAAATTTTCTACTACGCTACAAAAAACATGTATAAAATTTTTATCCGTTGCTTATGAGTTTTCCCCCGCTATGTTAAGAAAATAATGTAGGAGTTTAGCTTGTCACGCCAAATACACCACAAATGGGGTTTTAGTTATTACTCGCCACATTGTAAATGTCATTGTCGAGTTTCTCCTTCTATTCTAAGAAAAGCATGCACAAGTTTTAGTCACTACACTAAATGAGTCGCTAACTGAATTTTGAGGATTTACTCGATGTATCACAAACATTGCCAACAAGTTCCCCTGCCACGCTAAGAAAAGCATATATGAGTTTCACTCGTCACACTAAATGTGTCGCTAACAGTATTTTATGAGTTTGTGGATTGTTGTATTTTATACTTGTGCGCACAAAGGTGTTGATTAGTTTGACAACAAAACAGTGAGTTTGCTAGGAAAAACAACATGAGATTTTTTTTAGTATTTTATTTTTTAAAATTTTTTAGAGATCTTGATTGATGCTTGTCTTTTAAGAGAAAGAAAGAGAGATTGGGAGTTTGAATGTTTGAGAGAGAAAGAGAGGTTTCTCTCAGTTTAAAGAGAGAAAGTGAGAGGAGATACACTAGACAAAAAAATAACTCTCTGTCTAGAGAGGGAAATAGAGGCGTAACTGAGAAACTAGAGAGAGAAAGTGAAGGGAAGAGAGAGCAGGTTAGGAGGAGAGATGTCTTCCCTTCTTTAGAGAGAGAAAGAGAGGGAGAGAGAGTAGGAGGTAGAAGTGAAGCTTGGTCAGGGGAAGGAGCTAGGTTGGCCGGCGGTTGGTTGAGCTAGGGTTCTGTTGGGTGGCGTCGGTAGCTAGCGATGCATGGAGAGGAAGAGGAATAGGTGTTGGTGGTTGGGGAGGCATTGGCTTGGAGTGAGGTTTGGGCGACTGGTGTTATGAGTGGAAAGGGAAATGCTATGATAGGCTTGAGGTGATGGACTAGTATTGGTGATAAAGAGAAAGAGGGCTTGTGCTTGCGTGAGATAGAGGCGAGAGAGGGAAGATGTGGTTGTATAGGAAAGTGAGGAGGTGAGTTAGTTTAGGTATATATTGTAATTTTTTGTTTATTTATTTTTTAATTAAATTAATATATAAAATAGGTGTCCTATTGTTGCACTAAAAGGACATAGTACATTTTATCCAAATATTCCAAATTTAACAAAATTTGATTTAGTATTATTAATTATTGATTTAAAGATATGTATATTTTTAAGAATTAAAGTATAAATTTTAATTAAATTTAATTTTAAATAATAATAATAAATATATATTTATTTTAATTGTGCATTGATTCATTTATCAAGTTTTCATCGTTCATGCATGTCGAACTTCATTATCGTTTTGTGCATGTGGGTCATTTTTTTGCATTCTATTGTGTAGGAACTTGGACAATATGAGTATCCTTTTCTAATAATTTTGATGTTATGAACCCAATAGTATGGTCTCTTTCACAAACCAAGATGCTCGGACGATTTAGTGTAGTGTACATATGTAGCATTTCATTTTTTATTGCATTCAATCAAATCAAACATGATGGGTATTTTCTTGATAATTTCGATGTTCCCAATGTAATGACAATATCTATTTCACGAATGGGTGAAGTTTTGGGTGATTTCACCTAATTTCATGTTCGTAGTCCGTCGCTTTTGACCACATTCGACCGAGTCCTGCATGAACGACGCATCTTTGACAATTTTAGTTTTTTGAATGTGTTGGCATAATCAATTTTATAAACGGACAAAGTTGAGGTGATATGTGCAACATCGAGGTGTTTTACTGTTTTGTACATATTTCACACGGCGTCGCATGAGCCAACCAATATTCTTGTCTCACTTGCTTGAATCGATCGTTAAACACATTTGATGGTCGACAAGAACCAATGAACCTGCAGGAAGGCTTTCTAGCTGTTGAAGCACTAAACAATTCCGCCAAATCACTGATATCCTGCAATAGAGGCCTTCCATTCCTGTTGGATTCGGTTAGTCACAGGGGTAACATAACAATTCCACTGCATTATATAAAACCATGAATTCCTCATCTCTTAATTTCAATAGGTGCTAGTCTTTTTAATTTAACCATTAAATCTAAGTCTGATTCTCTATTAAAACTTAAAATAATATACACAATTTATTCAATGATTTATGATTTTTTATTTGTTTAACAAATATGTTGCAATCCCTTGAAGTATATTTTGCTGTCATTTCACGTAATTATGCTAAATATTTTAGAAGGTAAATTTTTATAACTAATGTGACAATCGTTTGTGATTAGAAGCCTAATTGCCTATCTACTAGTTATTGTTGGAAACCAGGATAGTATACGATATATGGTATTTGCTAATGACATTGCTATTATTATGGAAATATATATGCCAAAATATTCTTATAGTATTTCTATGTGTGATTGTTCCAGTCATAATTAATAATACATTTAGTTGTACTAAACTAAAGCTGTTGTAGGGCCAAACTACAACATTTTTGAAATCATCCATGCAAACTTGTGGAGTCCTTTGGTAAGGATAGTTGAACAAATTTCTCATACATAGCTGATAATTAGTTTATATAGATTTTCTAATGTTCTAATCACCTTCTTGGATTATAGTAGCATCTTTCAGCAGATTTAGTAATTCTTGTGTTCGGCTTGTTTGTTTCTGTTGATCATTATACAAGCAAAATAATTCTTAGTATTATTTAATTCGATGAATAATACTTTTATATACAAGCAAAATAATTCTTAGTGCTGTAAATTTTTTTTTTTATGAATGATACTTCTATATATTCACCCCTTGAATTTTATGAGATATGTCTCAAACCTTAAGCCCGAGGCAATGTACTGGATACCCAAAGCTGTTGCTAAGAGACCTGCGAGCACATGCTTGGAGATAACTCATTGAACTGCCTTTCAAATACTGCATATTGCGTTTATTATCTATTATAATGCGCATACCCAAGGTGTTTATATTCTACAACAATATTGTTGCAGACTAGCCTATACAATCTACTGTTGATAAGATAGAACGTGAAGCAATACATGTATTTTACAAATACAACATATAAATTCAGGACTTAAAGACCTATTATATTAAGCATACTTAAGGCATCTGTGCTGCAGAATAATCAATAACGTATCATTTGGCTTACACAATCTATTTTTCATAAGAAGAAAAATGAAGCTATACATCTAGCTGTGAAATACAACTCAATAGTCTTTCAAATGCCAGGTTAAAGCCTAACACCTATTATAATGCACAAACTTAAGGCTTTCGTATGCCACAATAAGCATTATTGTGGTGTAGTAAAATGGAACAATGAAGCCATGTTTGTGCTTCACTGATACAAATCATAGGGCCAACTTTTGAAGACCTCAAATCCTGTCAAAAGCAAACGACATCTATCCTTCAACTGAATTTCAGAGCTCCCTACCCCAAATGGGAAGCTATTAACCAAGAAAAAGAACTATTAGGGCAAGGCGGCAAGCTGTCCTGAATGTTAAGAAACACAGTCCCATAAGCCTTCAAGTGCATATTAAATAACGAGAATGTTTATGCGTCTTATGATATACCGAGCAATGGCATTAGGCAGTAATTTCTGTGTTTGCCTTGGGTTGTTTATTTCAGTGCCAAACATTGGCAGTGAATTAAAGTTTGGTTTGACGCAAAGTCTTCTAGATGTTTCTTTTACATTCAACTGGCCCATAACATTTGATTTTTATTTTTAGACATTTGACTTAGGGATGTGTAGTTCACCCAGATATTTGCAAAGTAATTGCGCTACCATATTTTTAGGTGGAAAGTGCTCGCAGATGCTGAAATTTTATAGCAACCTAGCAAGTTGCATGCTGCAATACGGATTTGCTGGATCAAAATGGTTCTTGATTTCCTATGCATGTTTTGTATGGTCTGGTAGCTTTGTCATGCATCTTACTGATTTTTTTAATGAATTGCAGTTAACTGTACCACAAAGGTTCTTCCTACATTTCTATGTCATTGCTGTACTTTTGACAACTAGCTTAGTCCTTTCTACATGGTTCTACGCATATAAAAAGATGACACCATTAGCTAGCGAACCATTACAATTCTCTACAATTGCTAGCCACTTGACTGGTGGTTCGCATATGCTTTCCATTCACAAAAGTACAACATTTCCAATGAAGCGCAGATTTGAGGTTTGGAAAATTGTGCTTGTTCTTCTGATGATGGAAGCACAGGCCTTGAGGCGTTTGTATGAGACACTTTATGTGTTTAATTATGGTCCTTCTGCACGCATGCATGTACTTGGATACCTGGCTGGTTTGTTGTAAGTTCCAAGGCAACTTTTCTATTCTGCAAATTGTTTCCTCATTAGTACCTGAAGCGTGAACATGCTTAATGTTTTAAACTATATAAATGTTCGCTGAACCTGTTTAATTTGGTCCTTTGATTGATTGTCTTTAACTTTCATAGAAATTTTTTGACCTTTTTTGTTAGCATTACACTAGATGACAATATAATTATTTATGTTATATACTTGGATTGAGTAAAAGCTCTAAATAGTCCTCTGACTATTGATAAATGTTCAAATTAGTCCCAAAGTTTTGTATTGCTCTAATTTGATCCCTCAACTATTAAAAAATGACCAATTTGGTTCCTAGGAACAATTTGATGTTTAAATTATCGGAACAAGCTCGAGAGATTCGCTTATTTGTGGGCATTTAGGTAAAATGACTTATTACCTGCTCGACACCTTCCCGTTCTAAGCCCTCAAAGCCTTCCCGTTATATGCCCTGGAGACCAATTTGTGCGAGGTGAAGTTGCGTAGAACGAGACGCGAGCGAGCAGGTTGCAAGTGATCTAGGGCGACGCAAAGCGAGCTAGGCGTGCTTCAATTTGCATTCCGGATTCGTGTGCGGCTGCAAGAAAGACCACGCATCAAGAGTGAGACACCCTACATGGCTGTTTGGATATAGGAAGAAAGATGACCACCTACACAACAAGTAAGCTGCCGTTGTTACTTTTGATCCTATAGAAGAACTGCGAGAAGGTGTTACTTTGGATCCAACAGGAAGGAACGTCGTCAAAGGAGGCGAAGAAGTTATTTAGTGACTTGTTCAAAACTCTACCTCTCAGGCGAAGCAGGCAAAGTCGAAGATCAGCAAACAACTGGAGAAGAGAAAAGGCAGACCAATGGCTATATTATATAGCAGAATATGCATTCCCAGAGAAATATAACATATAAACAAATTATTTTAGTTTAACTATTTTAATTAAAATTAATTAAAAATATGTTGTAATTAATAAATAATTAATTACTTAGATTAATTGATAATTAAATTATATTTTAATTATATTATTTAAAATGGTTAGTTAATAATAATAATAATAATAATTAGTAATTAGTAATTAATAATTAATAATTAAATAAAATCAAAATTAAAATTAATAAGTTATTTAATAATTAAATTATTTTATAATTTATTAAATGATAAATTGAACAATATAAGCTAGGGGTGTAAGTGAGCCGAGCCGGCTTGAGCTCGACTCGTTTGTGGGCTTGCGAGCCGAGCTTATTGAGCTCATGAGTCGTGCTCAAGCTCAAACTCGAGGTCGTTTAGTCAACGAACTCGAGTTCGAGCTTGAGCCCGGGTCAGCTCGTGAGCTTGTGAGCCGGCTCAAATTTATTACATTTAAATATTAAAAAAATTAATAATAAATGATTTATGAATCCCACTCCCGCCTATAAAATTAATAATAATATTTTGAAATTTGCTACTCTGCCCCTCTCTATCACTTTAATAATAAATGCTAATACCTCCAAAAAAAAAACTGCTCAATCCCTCTCTCTTGCTCCATCTCTCTCTCTTTCTTTCTCTCCCTCTCTCTCTCTAAATGAGCTCTTTAATGATGCTTAAAAGCTGCAGCCTTTTTAACTCCATCAATTCATGTACATTTATTACATTAGAGAAAGTTGCAGCTTTATTTTCTTCTAAATGAAAAACAGTGGGAAAATGAAAATCGGGCGAAAAATTAAAAACCGGGTGGGAAATTGAAACAGGCACGAAATCGAGTGGCTCGACGAGCCGGCTCTAGTTCGTTTACAGTGGGACGAGCTCGAGTTCGAGCTCGCTTTTCGACAAACGAGCTGAGCTCGATAGTGCTAAAAATTGACTCGTTTACAGCCCTAATATAAGCAATATAATCTTATATCCACTTGTAATATCTAAAATATCATTCATATTTAACTATTGGAGTTAACTTTAACTCTTATTTGAGGCATTGAGACTAAATTAACTCAATTTTTAATAATTGAGAGACTAAATTGGAGCAATGTGAAACTCTGGAACTAAATTGGATATTTATCAATAGTTAGCCAACTATGTTGAGCTTTTATTCTATTTGGATACATACATACTAATTTTCTGCATGCCCCATGCCCATATCATTAATATTGTATTATTTTATCGATGTAGACCATTCTAAATAATTGAACCTTTGACGTGAATTTCTCTTTTATTGCTTAAAATAGATTAATGGACAATCAAGTTGATGGTGTAGTGGACTTGCATTGATATGTTTAATTCACAATCTCAATCTATCTATATATGCATATAGAGAAAATAATCAAAATGGTCCCTCAACTCTTTGTGAGGGACCAAAATGGTCCCTAACTCTTTTGAGGGGTCAATTTAGCCGCTCAACTTTTTAAAATGATTTTTCTTTGTCGTAACATCCAATGTTGAAGTTAATGATGTTAAAGTAAGGGTATTTTGAAAGAAGCCTATATAAATATGAGTTAATTAAATATGATGTATACTTATTCTAAATGGAGGAAGCCTATATATAAAGTGACCAAATTCTTTTATATAAAAATGATTATTTAAGATTTTTATCATGTAAAGAATAAATTATTTATATGATATAATTAGTAATAAATTAGAATTATAATGAAAAATTAAATGCTTTAGTAGAGAATTTATGACTTATTGATTATTTGTATAATACAAAATATATTAATTATGAATTTATGATAATAAGAATGTCTTATACGTAATTATGTACTTGTCAAACTGACGACGAAGGAGATTAAAGTGAATCACCCAGTCTTCTGAAATTGAGGTAGGTACTCATGACGATGGTGTAGTGGACTTGCTTTTAAATCAAATGCATTCAATTTAGTGGTAGGTACTCACTAAATTGGAGCATTGAATGCATTAGTAGGAATGTAATTACAATATGTACTATAAAAAATTATTGAATGATATGAACAAAATGTGAATGAAATAAATATATAGAAATTATTGTATATGCATGTTGACTGATGGAGTATACACCCTTATAATACTAGCTCCCTATCTCTGAATGCAATGTACCTATGTGTAAATTGGAAAAGGAATAGAGATGGAAGTACCTTAAATATTACAATTTAGGCATTGATATGTGACGGTTGTATATATAAGAAATGAGAAAGATAAATTTTGATATATGATTTATACATACATACAACAACAACAACAACAACATCAAGCTTTTATCCCACTACATGGGTTGGCTACATGAATCCTTTTTCCCCATTGCGTTATGTTAAGAGTCAAATTCTCATTTAAATCTAATAAAGAATGCTCATTTCTAATATTTTTTAACATGGTCTTTTTAGGTCTACCTCTACCTTTCTTAACATAGGACAAATCTAATACATCTACTCTCCTAACAGGGTCATCGAAAGCTGTCGTTTTACATGACCAAACCATCTAAGGCGACTCTCTCTAATCTTATTTGTCACTGGAGCTACTCCAACCATTTCATGAATATGCTCATTTCGAATCCTGTCTCTAAGAGTAAATCCACTCATCCACTTGAGTGTTCTCATCTCAGCAACACTTAACTTAATATTATGCTTATCTTTTAATGGCCAACATTTTGCGTCATAAAATATTGCAAGTCTCACCACCATCTTATAAAATTTACCTTTAAGTTAAGCTGTAAAAATAAATATTTTGATATTAGTTGATGCTAGTAGATGAAACTTTAAATTTTCATTCGACTATCTATTTCCACCTCTTTAATTTGAGTCTTTGGATCAAGTTATGACATATAGAAATATTACGATGATTAGTTGACATTTTTTTTCAATAAAATTTGTAAGACCAAGGGGATGCTAAATGACTGAAGAATAATTTTGGCACCAATACATAAAACAAGGATGATTTTCAAGCTTATGCTAACTATAGAGGCTTCGTTTGGGACGGCTTTTTTATTGCTTTTTAAAACGGAGTTGTAGTACAAATTTTTTAATTTTTGTACTAAAACTCCGTTTTCAGAAGCAATAAAAAAGCCGTCCCAAACGAAGCCAGAGTATTTCTAATTAATGACGCTTTTAGCCCAACGTTATTCTTCCTTTCTCATTAGTTTTTTTTATCCCAACATTGTTAATATCTTTTTTCACCATTTTCCTTTGTGACTAGCTTCTACACTGCAGCACCACTTTCTGTTGGAAGTACATGTGCCGTAGATGCAATCAACTACGTAGGTAGTCAAATAGTTGAATTTATTGTCAATGGTCGGTCTCGGATGCCAGATGTGGAGTTCTTTCATTGGGAACCATTGAAACCGCTTTTTTATTTGGGATGGTGCCAGTGGTTTGGAGCTGCTCTGTTTGTTTGGGGCTCGATACACCAGCTTCGCTGTCATGCAATTCTTGTGAGTTGAATGCTATTCTTCTTTAGTGTTTGGATGAAACTTGCTAGTTGACGTGTTAAGATTTGCTTTTCAGTGATGAATATGAATAGTGATCTGCAAAAAACATGTTTTTGATCTGATTTAAAATTGGATCCCTTTCTGTGATAGATTAATGTATCAGATTTCTTGCTTCAGTTCTGTATTTATCTCAGGCTGCTAATGTTTGGTGTTGGGTATGGCATTGACGACAATAGAATTCTAGAGCCTCTAGAGCTACCCTTGCATTTTCACTGAAACTTTTCAAATGAGTCATGAGTGATTAATGTCAGCATACTTTTGCTAGATCATAGCAAATTATGCAGTTTAAATCATCATACCAGCCTTATGTGGAGCTTTTGTCATTAACTATTTGAATTTTTCACAACTCAATCCTATTCAAAGCTACATGATTTGTAAAATCAAAATGGCTAAGATGTATCTTTGAACAAGCCTCTAACCACATAACTAATGTTTGCTTTGGCCTAATCATCGTACTTTTCCTTCACAAAATTTCACATAACCATGCTAATAAAGTTTCATATGTGGCTGATAGGAAGTTGATGCACTTTTCACAAAAATTAATTGATGAAGCATGAAAATTTGAGAAAAAGAATGCCCCAAAATATTTTTTTATTGAAAGAATTATAATGAGAAATGCAAGATACAATTGGATCTTTAATTGGAGAGGAAGTTCCGGCTCTCCCAAATCCCTAGCCGCCTGCTAGAGCCCAAATTACCTAAGAAAACTAAATTCAGCAAACTCCCAAAACATCCTATTGTTAACCTTAAATAGGCTCCCCAAATTCCCTCTCAAATTAGCCCCCATTTCCTAAATAATTTCCTTTCATATTTGAATTCAAATTAGATTTCTTGCCCTAAATAATCTCTCTCTCAATTGTAATTAAGACTTTCCTACTTAATTCTCTCATGATTTCTCCTCCCTTTTCCTAAATAATTTCCTCTTAGATTTTGAATTTAAATTAGATCTCTTGCCCTTGCTTTAAATAATCACTTCCAATTGCAATTAAAAATTTTCCTAAACAATTCCCCTTTAATTAAGATTCTTCCTAAATAGTTCCCTTTTGATAGGAAATGGATGCACTTTTCATAGAAATCAGCGGATGAAACACGAAAAATTGGGAAGAATTTTCCAAAATAATTTTTATTGAAAGATCAGTAAAAAGAAATATAAGATACAATTAAATCTTTAATTGGAGAGGAAGATCCGACTCTCCCAAATCCTTAGGCGCTGGCTATAGCTCAAATAACCTAAGAATAAACTAAATTCAACAAACTCTCCAAACATCATCTAAAATCACCCCGTCATTAGCCTTAAATAGGCTCCCATAATTCCCTCCCAAATCATCCCTCTTTCCCTAAATAAATATCTTTCATATTTAAATTAAAATTAATTTATTCCCCTAATTAATTCCCTCCCAATTGTAATTAAAACTTTCCTAAACAATCCCCCTTAATTCTTTCTCCTTTCCTTAAGTAATTCCCTCTTAAATTTGGAATACAAATTAGATCTCATGTTCTAAATATTTCTCTCCTATTTATAATTAAAAATTTTCCTAAACAATTCTCCTTTGATTAAGAACATTTTTAAATAGTTCTATCTTGATTAGGAAACTTCTTAATTCCCTCCCAATCAAATCGGCTGATCTATTAATATTCCCCTCCCAAAGTGCCACATTGTCCTCAATGTGGAACGAAGGAAACTAAGCATTAGACTGAAAAATGAACTGTCACTTGGTCGAATGATCCTTGCCTTCAGCATCTCCCTGATCAATCTCCATCTCATCCTCCTAGAGTTGGGGAGAATGGTACAGACGAACTCAGTGTTGCAACTCAAGCTTTCGAGTTTATGGTTTTGATGATGACAAACATTACTGATTGTATCTTTATGTCTCCTAGTGTTTGTACTTCATATTTGTTATTGCGTGTACTAATATTTCAGGTACATCATGCACCAGTCAATGAAGATTCAAGACTTAAGATTGGGTAAAATAGGGTATTCTAAAAGAGTATGTAAAATTTATTTATGTATTTTTTCAATTTCTTGAGTCAAGTCTTATAACAATGTATGTTAGCCTGGTGACCGTGCACACACACTCATGGAAATGAGATAGTGAGAAAAATTATTCTTATGATTTTTAAATTGGCTTATAATTCAAAAATTAGTACTTCATGGAAATAATCGTATTATACAATAGGTGTCGTATTGTACATTCAACTACTCAGAGAAATATTAAATTGGCTAATTGTGTTATTAATGCTATTTGAACTAATCGTACAAGACGATTAGTTGAAATCATGAATTTTAGGTACCAATCATTATTTAGGCAATATTTTGAAATACAAATGATGTACTAATTATACTTTACGATTGATATCGTACTGTACGATGTAATTAAATCTTTCCTAAATTAATCATGTAATTAGGGATCAAATTTGAATTAATTGGTCCAATAAGATCGTACTGTATGATTGAACAAATTGTATTGTATGACCAAATTCCTGCATGGGACAATATTTTATCGTCACCAATTGTACATGACGATAATCCAATTTGATTGTACTAACCGTACTGGATGATGATTATATCGTACTGGACGATTAGCTCAAATACTTGAATTGATCTTACAATGCTTTACAATTCAAACAATACGAATAGGGATATTTTGTACTCATCGTACCGTATGATTTGTGATCGTACTGTACGATCAAAAATCGACAGAATTGAGTTTTAAGGGTTTTTCGAAGCCCTCTATTTAAGCTTTCTCATAAAACTTTGTAAGAGTCTTTGTGCCATTCATTGAGTTGTTTCTTCTGAAAGCTTGAAGACAGAGCCTAGAACTTGGGAGATAAAGGGTGGAGTTTGTGAGAGAGGAAGAAGATCGTTGTGGGTTGCAAGGGATTGTGAGAGGGAGTTCCATACGGTTTCTCTGGCGAACTTGCACCTAAGTTCCTCTATGTGTCAAGGTTTGTTCTTGAGTGAAGTTTTGGGAAGAAGATCTCTTTGGTGATAAAGGACCCGACTACTCCGCCGCACCGGGGAAGGTGAAAGTGATTCCAAGGTTCTCTGCCTCACCATGAGGGTGAAATGGATTCCAAGGTTCTCTGTCTCACCAAGAGGATGAAAAGGATTCCAGATTCTTTGCCTCACCATGAGGGCGAAAAGGATTATGGTCCTCTGTCGCACTGAGTTGGTGGAAGAGATTTTGTATGGGCTTCTCCGCCTAGCTGTGGGGGATAATAGAGAGACACTATATTGATAGTACAATAACTAGAGATGACTCCGGGGAGGGGATGTAGGTCATGGTTTGACTAAACCACTATAAATTCTTGTGTGTTTGTTCTAATTTTTATTTTTAGCATTTTATTTTTTGACACTTTATTTTGTAATAACTGCGCGGTGAAAAGTTATGATTAATATTTTGTTGTGCTGATTAGAATATAATCACCATTGTTATAATTGTTTACAAGTTAATTAGCTTCCGCATCAAAGAGAAAGTATTGCTTTAGTATTAGTGTGCTTAGGGACAAGTTCACTTAGGCTTAACATCCTTATCGGACTTTCACACTGATTTGTGAGATTGTCCTTCCAAATGATTGCATGCTCGTGTTCCCACGGAGGAAGCAACTCATGAAATGGCTAGAACACCTCTCGATTAGGATTTCTCCCATTTTATTGTCTGATCAATGATGCTCTCACCTCTTATGTTATCAGTTTGGTTTGGACCCCAAACAGCTTCTTTACCATATCCTCCATGATGACAAATTTCTCATCGATCTTCTCTTGGATGGCTGAAAATTGTTTTTCAAAATCTAAATTCTTTTCTACAAAACCAGATTTCAATTGTTCGATCTCCCTTTTCAACACTTCTAATTTTCTTCCTGCCATAGGTACTTGGATCTAGGTTCTGATACCAATTTGATAGGAAGTGGATGCACTTTTCACAAAAATCAATTGATGAAACACAAAAAATTGAGAAGAATGTCCCAAAATAATTTTTATTGAAAGAACTATAAAGAGAAATGCAAGATACAATTGGATCTTCAATTGGAAATGAAGATCCGTCTCCCAATCTCTAGCCGCCAGCTAGAGCCCAAATAACCTAAGAAAACTAAATTCAACAAAATCCCAAAATATCCTTTGAAATCACCTTATTGTTAGCCTTAAATAGGCTCGCCAAATTCCCTCTCAAATCAGCCCCATTTTCTTAAATAATTTTCTCTCATATTTGAATTCAAATTAAATTTCTTGCCATAAATAATTCAATCTCAATTGTCATTAAAAAACTTTCCTAAACAATCCCCCCTTGATTCCTCCTCTCTTGCCCTAAATAATTCCCTCTTAGATTTTGAATCCAAATTAGATCTCTTGCCCTAAATAATTCCCTTCCAATTATAATTAAAAATTTTCTTAAACAAATTTTCTTTGATTAAGAAACTTACTAAATAGTTCCCTCATGATTAGGAAACTTCCTAATTCCCTCCCAATCAAATTGGTCGATCCATTAGTAGCCTATGACATCTTAGTGTTTGCTTATGTAGTTTCAATTAACAAATCTTGAACTCAATAAGGAGCCTAAAATCACGCAAACATTTTCAAATTAGTAAATGAAAAATTCTTAATTTGAACAATTACTCGTTACTTGAGATGAAAAAAAAATAGAAAATGCAGGAAAATCCACATATATGATAATTTAATACTGTTGCGCTAAAAATAACACATTAAAATTCATACCACCATATTAGTCCATATTGTATAAAATTCGACTAATATTAACCTGTTAGACCGGTTCAATGGATCAGTCCAGCCGGTCCTACGAGACCATCCCATACAATTTGAGGCGGAACTCTGATGCGGGCCACTGCCGACGCCGACCGGCAGAGGGAGGGTGGGCTACCCCGCGGGGCGCGGAAACAGTCGGAACGGGCGCCGCATCGGCGCGCCCGTTTGATCCGCCGAAGCA